ACGGGGGCGTACGTGTCTTTTGGTGTATTTGTCTGTCTGGTATATTGTTTGTCGGGGGTCGCAATTTTAAAGAAATGTATTCTAAAGTAATGCAAATAACTGATAAATAAGTAAAAACTTACCTGGGCATAACCCCGGGACAAGTGCCTGCAACAAAGATGCCGACGGCCTCTATGCTTAAGCCGGGGATTAGGTCGGTGATTAAAAGGAAAGAAAGGGATTCTTTCCAGGTAGCCTCAATAAAGGCAGGTAGATTTTCCTCCTTGCAATCACTTCACCTCACAAACAAACACGTCTGCTCAGCTCGGCTGTTCGCTCTGAACTGGCGAAGACCAAGGATTTTATACAAATAAATTGTATAAAATCCTTGGGCGAAGCCGACGAATGGCGCCAACCGCCAAATGAGTTAAACGTGACAAATTGAAATTTACATCGATTAGAGAAGTATAACTTAAATAGTTTTATTTCAAAACGTGAACTGTTATTTTTGCGGTTAATTATAAGTTATAATGTGCAAAAGTGAATAACGACATTTTAGATTCATTCTAAGATCAAGATGTGATGATAAATAAGTCGAGATGTAGCCGCAATGTATCGCAAGTACGTAAAATTTGGAATTGATTTATTGGTATTATGTTGTAAATTTATAATAGTACATATATCGTTGAATATTTTAAAGTATTTATTAGGAAAGTTGTACTATCTTCATTGCATAATCCTGGTAAATTCTCATTAAATTTAAAACTAGTATCTAAATGTTGAATGTGAACATATCTCGATTTATAAGACATGAGTACATGATAGTTATACATAACTAGGGTTCATCAAAATCAATTCGTAGAAATCTGAATGTATTCTCCAAAATCAAGAATAAATAATAAAGAGCAGAAATGAAAGAGCACACTCAGCTTAAGTTTTCACATAGACCTTATAATATATAAGTAACAGCTTAGGTCTATGAATTTTTATAAACCCATAATGTAGATTAAATTCTATTGAAATATATAATACATATTCGTTGATTCAGGCTATTTTGATACTTAAAATAATTTAGTATTATTTATGAAGGGAAGTTTTGAAAAGTAAAACAATATTTTTCTTTAGTGAAACACTATACCTTTAATGGAAAAAGCAAAACAAATAAGATATCACAGGTTTCTCTATATTAAAATATGTAAACAACAAATACAAACAACAAAATAAAAAAGAAGTAAAACCTCTATTTTGTTCAACAATTAATTTAAGGACATTTAAAAATATGCAATAAATACGTGGTATCAGAATATCTAAGTATGATACATCAAAATTTACAAACAAAAAAAAAGACAACTCCTATACAATATACTACAAAAATATACAAATATACCTACAATAAATATCTTGCATAATTCAGTAAACACAAGCACCTTTTTTTATAAAATTCAAAGTTTGCCTCAATCATATATGTATTTTTCTAATACCCTCTTCGTATCAAATTGGAAAGGACCCCCAACAATTAAAATTCTAACCTAGCCTACCTAACATTATTCACTGCCAAGAGGTATTTACAATTTACAAAATAACAGGGTGCCCAAATAGATCTTAAATAATAATAAAAATTAATTTGAAGACAGAGACATATGAACTACTGATTTTTTTTCTCGAATATAGGTACAACCAATTTTGCTGGTACACCCTGATAATGAGCACTGGTCAACACATAACCAACAATTTATTCAACCCTGTAACAAAATTAGTTTTATTATATTACGTCTGGATATGTTTCAATTTGTCAAAGATTAAAAAAATATGTTTACATATAAATACAGTACTGTGTGCTAAAATGTTCTCCATAAATATAAATACAATCAATTGAAATAGTTGTTACAGTAAGGAATAAATCCATGATTAACTGTCATTTCTAGATTGAAACTTTTCGATACCATTTTGTTGAAAATTATAATACTTCTCACTAAATGCAGTCTCATGCCTTAAATTCCTTATGTTTTATAAACAATTCATTTCTGCCAAGAGGTTTTTTTATCACAAATCCATACATGTCAAATGAATTAAAATCGTAAATGCAACTTAAACCTAAAACGGGGTGTAAATGGTACATACACACAAAAACTAAAGGATATCTATAAAATATTTAAATTGTAGTAGTGGAATAAATAATTTGTACTAGGTATAAACTGGCTTAATGAGTAAGTAAAGTTACGTGTTTTAGGCCTAAATGATGCTAAGTTCCAGGGACCGACACCTAAGTTTTGGCCTCTATGACAAACGGTGACAATCCAGCCAGCAGATTTTTTTTTCAATCAGTGGTTGTATATAGTTTCTTTTATTTTTTGAAAATGAAATAAAGTTGCAAAATTATACTAAAATGCATTGTTCTAGAAACAAATGTTACGTGTTATTTATTCCCGCTCTCTGTTTTTTATGCTTGGTATTTAGTATCGCAATTTGTTTGTATTAAATATTACTTTTTGTAAGTAGTATGTATCTAATAGCTTTATCATATGCAAAAGTTATACTTTTTACATATGCATAAACAGTTTTACATTAAGTATGGTGTTGTCATCAAACATCTATGTTTTTCTAAATCTCTACTTATAAATTATCAATAATACTATCCTCAAAATTGTACTAAGGCAACTTGATCCAAATCAGATTACTTTTGTGCACGGAAGCTACCCTTGCACTATGGCCCATTTATTTTGTTTCAAGTGGACATCTGCTGGCTAGAGTGAAGTGTTGCATCCATCAGGTTTGATCTTCTCAGCGTTTTAATTCAGAAACAAGATCATTCCCAACGAATGTAACCTTAAATTTCGACAATCTTTAGTACCTAACCGTTTTAAGGGAAATGTATTTATTGTGTTTAATTGAGCTTAATGTAAAGTGTGCTGCTTATCCTAAATTTAAGACAACACATCAAGGTCTTCCAAAGCAGGGAACAAGTTGTATAAGCAATTTGGCCATATCTTCCCTGCTTATAGAAAACCTCGCGGAGTTCTCTGGGGAGAATGGCATTAAAATTTGGCAATTCTACAGCGACAACATTGGTGCTGTTACCGTTCCGGACTGTTAGTTGCTGGATATATTGCTTTGTGGAACAGCTTAAAGTTTCTTGAAATACTGATCAGTTTCTTTTGGATTATTTTAGACTGTAGAATGTCATTAGTGGGATTGCTAACTGGTATCTTTAGTGGTTTCCAGTGGTTTTGTGTTAGCCTCCTTCCCCGTTGAGCCACTATTCTGGACTAGCAGAGATGAGAGTGTCTCCAGAGATTTCCTAACCTGGAACGAGTATTATAATGAGACACTTTAAAAATATACAGGGTCATCTGTTACTGTGGCAAAATACAACAACTCTTTACTCATCGAATACAATTTTTTTATTTTGCATGTTGTATTACCACCTTTTATTTGACAAAAGAATTGTTGAGATACCCACCTTAGCAATTTGATCTAAATTAGTATCTAAAAAACTATGAACCGCCCCCGCAGACTTAGAATGTAGTTGCGTCTGCCAGTTCAGCAGATCACTGTAAATGTCCTCCGAACCCGCCGACACAACATTGTCCTGTAGCACCAACGAGTACCTATTCTGGATCTTGCTTATCCTATACAGCAACACGGCTGCTGACAGGAACAATAAAATCAACAGTAAGGTTGTGGCAAACAGAATCAGGCTCTGCCTGGGTAACTTCCTGAACTCCGAAATGGCCTGCTTCAGTGGCTTCATTAGACTCTTGGAATAATTCTTTTCGTAGCTGAGTGCTGAAAAAATGCAGTGTTGTTACTAAATGAAACTGTTTCAAATTTTATCAAATTATGCGGACGATTTTTGTAATCTGGTAAATACGATTGAATTCAGTGCAAGTTATGTTATCTGATTTGATATATCTTTGAAAATGATGTTTCAGCTGGTGAAACAAATACATGTCCAGTGGACTTTTTCTTAGACAGCATCAGAAGGACCATAAATAAGAGTCTGTCCATGGAAAATACCCTTCTAATGTAAAATTGGATAAATTTTCAAAAATGATTGAATTTTGCTCTTTGATGCCATTTTCAACATCGAATAAATGTCACACCACATAACGATGTAAGTGTATGTATGTAAAGAAACGGAAAATAAAAAGTAACTAGTGACTGTGACCCACCAATTTTGCAATTTCGGATAAATCTCCAAACCGCCGTAATATGCAATTGCATTACTATTGATTGATAGTGAAGATTCACTGTATAGAATTAGTTTATTTTATTTAGTTTATTCATTTGAAACAATATTGTAAATACAGGGTGTTAATGAACTTATGTCAAAAATTTACAGGGGTGAAAAAGCAGCAGAAACTGAGTTAACTGATGTACAAACTTGTATTGGATGTTTAAGGTCATAGAGAAAAATAGCTAATTAAAAATATGTTTAAAACTGTTTTGGAACTGCTGAAATACATGTATTTTATCGCGGCGAGTACTTACAAAATATTCTGTAACACTTTTTACGAGTTTGTAAGTTTCTTATGAAGCCTGACTGTATTCGAAAGTCAGTTTGTAATGCATTGTTGTAGTGATTGCTGTGCTGTTTTTCGAGAGTACATTTAATAGCTGTATTTTCAAGTTTTCTTTTGAAAATGGCGCATTTATTTAAGAATCGCGGATATTGATATGCTCAGAATTTATGGCAAAGCAAACGAAAATGCCCACAGAGCTTGTCAAGTGTACCATGCAAGATAACCTGAACGACGTGCCCCCACACCGTGAACATTTGTTGCTGTAGCGCAAAGAGTTTTGGACACCAGTGAAGTACAACTGCGTCGAGGTCGCGACGGTGGCATAGGGCGACCACTAAGAATCTTAAACGCCGAGGAGATGATTTTAGATCTCTTCGAAGAAGATCCGCATCGTAGCACCAGATATATCGCACATCAAGTAAATATTTCACATCCTGTTGTGTGGCGGACATTACGAGAAGTTCATTTGTACCTATTTCATATTCAACGTGTTCAAGCGCTTATTCCTGAGAATTTTCCACTACGTCAGGGTTTTTGCGAACGGTTGCTTCAGGAACCGTTCAGCTTGTAATTCGAGAGGACGTGGCAATGTTGCAACGCGTGCGAGCGAATTGGATACGTCGCGCTGAAGCTTGTGTGCAAGCAAATGGTGGATACATCGAATATCTCCTTGAAAATCAGCAGTTCTCAAAAGGTGACTCCTTGCAATGTTGTACAAATAGGATATTGGTTTGACTTATTATGCATGAAGACATCATTATGGGACAAAAATGTAATTAATTACTATTAAGCAAATAGTATCGGTTTTACTTTTTAAGCTCTGGCAACAAAGTAAAAAGCGAATGCCGTCTTATGAAATCATACTAATGTAATTGTTGTTTTGGTATGAATAATTTAATAAGAATTCATATGATTCAGTGAGTAATAAGTAAGGTAGTAGGTACTTACTTATCAGTTTAGACTACTTTATAGTTCAAATGGCATTAAAATGAGAATTAATTAATTTGTTTCTTACCTTCACTTGCATTTGGCAATAACTGTTCCTTTCCCACTCCCACTTTTTTCACTAGAGAAAATCTTGGCTTTATTTCAATTGGTGGAGAATCCCTACCACTCTCCCCTTCTCCTGATTCACTGGAATCCAGATCTTGCTCCTAAAAAAATACAGTATGTAATGAAAACTTCCAACACTACATGAGAATATTATGAAGCATGCTAGGGGCAAATCGTTTAATCCAGATTGGGGGTGGCCAGGCAATTGAAAACTTAACAATTTTGCAAATTAGTCCTTTGTGAACAAAAAAATGTATGGTATATTACAGCTTGGCACTGGCAGAGATAAGTAAGTGACACCCGCAATCTTTTTAATAGTGGTAGTTGACATTTGGCCACTCCTGATCTAGATCACTCATTATTCAGACAGTGTACATTCATAGTGTATTGGCAGACTGGGACCCTAAGCAAGAAAGAAATTACAAAAAAATCCGGAACAAAAATTTTTGGGCCTACAGTAATCAATAATCATACTCTGCTGTTGCAGTATGTATTTACAGTTGTTCGTGTACAATAAACTCACCGTAATTTCGGGTTCTATTATAACTGGCGATGCACTTTTCGCCTTCTGCCAAACCGTCCTCATGTACTGTAACGTGTTATCTCTGGACATAAGGCTTCCAAAGACGTGTTTATCTTCACTCGTTGAAATTCCTACGGCATTTGGTATGATCCTAGCTGTTTTCTCTTTAGTAATGTTCTCTACTGTAAGCACCGGTATTAACAACTGAAAAAAGAGACAAAATAATCAATGTTCTACTTCTACTCATGCAAAGCAGAACAGAGCCCAATTTGAAAACTTAAGATGTGAGCTTGTGCAGTATCTTACCTTGGTGACGTATCCGAAAACATTGGAATAGAATGCGAAGTAGTTCTTCGTGATATACAAATGGCCCTGCAATAGTATGTCGCCGATGAGCGCGCACGAATAATGGTTCAGGACCTTCTCATCGTCCTCCACATTGGGGAAGTGCCTGAGGAACTTCTTCTGCCTGGCCTTGGAGGTGGTGTGAACCTTGGGGTCTTTGGTAGCCTTGGGACTAGGAGGCTCAGCCAGCTGAGCCTGTGCCGTCATTACTGGCGTCGACGTGGACAGGTGTTTCAAAGAAGCCCTGCAAAACAAGCCACTCTAGGAGATATTTAAAAAAAAATACGGTATATACTGTAGTGTGAAATTAAATTAGGACTCTTCACCCTCCCGACCTCAGTTCAACAGAGAAACAGAATAGGACTTACTTTTCGCACTTCGTGAACACCGAGTGGCTGGGGCTACGCTGTATGGAAGGGGACGTGCACCCTGGACTGCAGGGTTGAGAAAGAGGTTCTGCAAGGCCTCCTGGCGAAGCGCACTGCACCCCCTGAGGCGTACTCGGAGCGGAACGAGTCCCCGCGCTCCCGAAGTTTCCGGAGGACCTGGAACAACAGTATAAACTTTAAACGATTCCAAAAAAAAAAAACAAGAAGACAAAACTAGTTACAAATTTTACATTTTTATAAAACGTATTAAATAAAATAAATATTCTACTAATAAATATAATAAATAAATATAGAAATAAGTGGCTAATTGTTCATTATGTATTGGAAACTGTGAACAGAAAATTAGGGTGTTCCCTTCATCCTTTTTCTAACAGTACATCGCCTTTCTGTTAAATTTGGGCGGTGAAAATTCGAAATATTTGGAATGGCTATACATATGCAATGAATTTTCGAAACCGAGAGAGATGCACTAATCAAATTTAGACAGGACATAGCTAATACAATGCAAAACAAGATCTTACTATTAAAAATGTTGTCACCGCCGTTCTTGTTGGTGAAATATTTGGAATTATTCAATGTTCGGGGCTGAAAACATATTACAACAAATTTACATGCATAATATCAAAATTATTTTTTTAATCAATATTTTGTAATCATTTTAGTTATGCATTTTTTTATTCAAATTTGGTTACACCTTCCTTACAGGCCATAAAAGGCTCTTAGTGGCTAGGATATTAATCATAACTAAACATAAAAAAGCTGGCATTAAAGATGAAAGAAAAACAATTATACTATTTTACAATTTTTAAAAATAATATCACTGTAAGCAAAAATGATTTGCTAGATTTTTTAATGCTGGCCATTGTATCAAAATTTTGGAAGATTTTTAATGATCCTTAACTGCTGTTTATTTTTTAATTAAATAATATTATTTATATATCTCTAGAACTTAAGATAATTGATTTTTTTGAGTGTGCAGTTTAGTATTAAATTTGAAAAGAATTGATTGAGTAAGAAAGTTAAAATAATTATTTTTATTAGTAAAGTCGCCCACTTGATTTTTTTTTTGTTTTTCATAGTTTCCGGTGAAAATACAGCAATATATGTCTTATGGCACATAAACTTGCATATCGTTAAGGATAAATTTTATATATTTTTTTATTGGTTATGCACATAATTCGCGATTAAATCATAAAATATTTTTAGTTTAGCCAATAATTCGATATGTATTCTAGTTAAATGTAAAATTGGAATACTATTATGTACTATATATTTTGTGACAGAGACTGTATGTGAATTTTCTCATGATTATTAATTCAGCCAGATACAGGGTTATTACCAGAAATCAATAATGCCCTGATCTTATAACGTTAGACAAACATGAGTCATTGTACAATTTAGTTGTCTTTGAAATACAGGATAATGAGATTATACAAATTTTTTACGTCCATTTAGATAGATCATATAACCATAAAATGTAATTTTTTTTTATAAATCACTAACAAAATTTATTTATAATATTTGTTTGTTAAATACAACAATTCAATTAATGTTTCGTTATGAGAAAATCTGGGTCAACCTTTTAAAAATAATGCGAGTGATGTGATTCTTTAAAATAATCTTCTGCGAACGCGAAAACTAGGTTTACAAGAAAACTAATTAGTAATATTGTTTTCAGAATTCATTATTTTGGCAGAATTGAAGAAATTAGCTCACCGATTAGGTGATTTTAGATGTGGTAAGTAAAACTACACTATTAATTTTTAGATTTCCTATTTATTTCTCTACCTAAAATATAGGTCATTGCTTTAAAACTGTTACGAGTAGTCTAAAATTCGCAAAATCTTATTTAAAGAACAATAAAATTAGTTTCCCGAAAAAACTGATTAAATGAAATCTACTTAAATACATCTGTTGTATTATGGGAACTTTTAATAGGAATTAAACTGCGGGTAAGTATATACATCTACATCATTCGAAGAAAAAAAAGTATTTAAAACAGCGCAATATTTTTGAAAACTAATTGTCCTTAACCCTGACAAAAGCTTTAATCGAGGCAAGGTCAGCAGAAAGATTAGTTATTATTTAATCGATCTCGTTGTAGTTAGGCTAATGGGGAAAATACCGTCTATTGGAATTGATTAATTGCTTTGTGAAAAATTGATTAACAAATATCGCATAGACGTGGCCTTAGCAGGTCTAAATGGGCATAAGGTCAGTCGTGAAAAATTTAATCTTAAATATCGGTTAACCGTTATAATTGTATAAAAATTAAAAATAAACTTTCTAGAAATTAGAAATAAACTTCTACTTGTAATATGTTTTATTACAACACTGACTGAACCTGTAGTTACATTTTGTAGAAGAATTTACAAGTTGTTCACAAACATTGCAAGATCATATCGTCCAATATGTAACTCGCATAAATTATTATCAATCCTTTAATGTCGTTCTTTCGGAATTTCAATTCTCACATAAACAAATTCAAAAATATATTTGAATAAGTTGAATGGAGATACATAGTAAGTAGGTAACTCATCAAAGTACCTAACTGACCTAACAGTATGCAATTTAGAATACGACTTGGTCTTTGAAACGGTAAAAAATTAAATTTCGGTAGGCGTATGAGTTCGTTATCCTAACGGGGCTAATAACATTATCAGCGCTAAGACCATGTCGCTGTTGCTTAAAAATTGTTAATATTTCCAAACAAGATATGAAACAAATGACGGAAGTACAATAATTAGTGTTTTTGTCCATGTTGAGTTAAAGTTTGTATTTCTAGTTTTTTAATCGTCTTGAGGAAATTTCAAATTCAAATTACATTAAAAATTAGGTGCTGAAAAACCTACTTTTGATTATATGCAACTTATACATATATTAGCTGCTACAAACTGCATTTGTGCCTTCAATCATGAAAACATACATTCGCATTTTATCTAGTGAAAAAAAATTACTCATGAATCATAAGAATCATCAGTCTTCGCATTAGTCACCACATATTTTTCTTAACTTAGCTTAAAGAAACTCGTATGCCTACGTTGGTTACCATATTAAATATTATTTGTTTAAATAAATTGGACCGTTAGGATCATTAACTTCAGAACAATTTAGACCAATTTACAAATGAAATAAACAGCTCAAAGAAACGTTCTGGCCAAGTAATTTAGCTGATTAATTTTACAATAGTTGTTTTTGTTTATCACAAGTAAACAGTTATTTTTAAGCTGTTACAGCAAATAATTAAGGTTTTTGATATGAAGTAGTTAATTTCTTGCATGTATGAATAAATAGTGTCTTCTATATCGTCAGGTAACGAAGTGCAGAATATATTTCTTTAATAGAAAATTTGCAAAAAGTTAATCTTAATGTTTATACATTTGTTTTCCGGAGCCTTTTGTAAATAAACATAATAGTACCTTATCGAAACTGCTACAATTTTTTTCTTTTCTTATGGACCCCCAGGAAGTGCGGAAACACTGTGGTCTAAGTATGTGCTTTCTACGACATCCAAAAGTCTGCTAGCCGTTATGTCCCTTAATTTCCTCAAGATTGCAAAGCTGTCACACCCAGAATATGTAACGCGGATTCTTCTTTCCATTCCAACATAATTCTGTGCCTGATTTTACTCTGAGTGAGGGAACATTCAACATTTTCTTCATTTGAGTCTGTTCTGGTCTGAGTATCAGTATTCGCAATGATGTTTTTGCATCTCTAAGCCTGCTAAGACCTTTATTGCATCTGCAACTTATATTGGGGTTTCTGAAGGTATTAGAAAAAACTCTTGATATTATTTACAACAGTTTTTGTAGTTTTTTAGAAATTACTCTGAGGATGACTTCTCGGTTCGAAACATTACTAAACCGTAATATTTGATGCAACGCTAGACTCGGAAGATAATGAGGAGTGACATAGGAATATATGCATTAACATAATACTAAGTACTGATAGGGCTATCTGAAAATTATATACTACGCTTTCGCATACCTGCGGCTGAATTTCGTTGATTACTCTCCGAATTTCTGCCTTCAATTCAGGAATGGCATTCATTTGAGCAGGATAAACTTTGGACTTTACGAATCCCCATAGGAAAAAGTGGCATTGCTTAAGATCGCACGATCTTGGTAGCAGTCACTTCACTGTTACGTCTTTTGTTAAAAGCATTGCATTGTGCTTTTTGAAATGTTTCATTATAGCGCCCTCAAACCTCTGCCTCCGCCACACTATCACTCACCGTAGCAATATTTTCGACTAAACGGCCTGTTATTATTGTCTGCAACTTGTTTGTTCAAATTTCGCAACTAATCTTTTCAGTTTTTTATTCGGGGCGTCCCTTGTACCGAAAATTCCACGTATTTTACGCACAGTCTCAGCAACACACTCTCCGTATTTGTAATGAATTTTCAGAATCTTCACTCGCTCATTCGTCGTACAGCGTTCCATTTTGTCACAATGCTGCCAACTCTTCGGAATGAAAATGGTGCACAATTCAAATCCAGCGTTACTTTTGGGGCACCCTTTGGATCGAACATTGTTTATTAAATTTGTTCTAATTCCGGACTTTTACCCGTGCATCTTGTATTTATTAATAATAAATCCTATTAAATTTCGTATTAGGAAGGTCCTAAGTAAAAAAGGTCATATTATAAAATTATTAAACGTAGAAACTGTTTTATGCGTGTGTTTTGAATAGAAATCCGATCATCTCTGGGTTGTATCAAATCATTTATTGAATTTTAATAAGAACTATGACGTTAAAAATATTTTATTACATGAATCGTTCAAATGGTCATTTTAGATGAAAAAACCGCAGAGTGCTATTAAATTAGAGGGTGGAAATTGGAGATAGGGGTGAAAATGCACCCCTTTCAGTTTTTTAATTGTACTTCGAAAGCGAATTTAGAAAATTGAATTTCCCATCGAAAAGGCTTATTTAAAAAATTTAAAAGGAAAATTTTAAGCAAAAAAAACGTTTATAAACAATTTGAAAAAGCAAAAAATTCGATTTTTTGATTTTTTTTTACTTTTTTGCCTCTAGTTTTTTTTTTTGAGTAAAGATAGGTATAGGCATTGCTTCATAGAAAAAAGTAGATAAAATTTCCTTCAAAATAAGAAGTTGTTAAGTATTTTTGGATGAAAATTGACTGATATTGGTC